GTTAGAAAAAAAAAGGGAGAAAAAGAAAAAGAAGAGTAGAGAGAGAGAGAGAGAAGAAGATAAGATAATGTTAATGAAATTAATATTTTTTCCACACACATGTGATGAGTTTTAGCCGAAATGTGTCAGTTTTCGTTGGAGGGGAGAAGATAAGGTTCACAGTGTTCAGCTTTTAATTTTCTTAACTACCTAGTTGAATTTCTACATTTATTATGTAATACATTATTGGATGTGAACTGCTGATGGTTAAGGAGACCCATACTTTGTTTACATGTAAAGCAAATCCCACCTTTTTGTGCTAAAATGGATTAATATATGCTGACTGGGTATATTCTACAAGAGAAAAAGGACCAATTGCAGGTACAGTTCAATTAAATAGATGTTAAATAAAATTTTATCTTTTTATTGCCCAAATTTCCACTTGACATTTTTTTCTTCCATCTGCTAGTTTCGACCAAGTGTTTTATGCTTTTTGCCAGCCCACCAGGGCCTACCCGTGCCAACCCCTTACCCTAAATTGTACTCTCTTTCTACGGTTGTTGACAACCACTTAAGATTTTTTCAAAATAAATTGAAAAATCAAGTGTGAAAAATATAAAAGAAAAGGGGAGTCGCCACTCATCCAAATTATAAGGTGGGACAAGTCACCTAAAATGGGTCTGCGTAGAGATCAGGGTTCGGGGGTTCGGTTAAGAGTGAGGAAGGGCATACGCGCACCTCACAATCCTCCGTTTAAACACGGTTGCATACTTTAACATTGGGGGTTTTTATTCAACTTATTTATTACATTTATGTTTGAGTCTTAATAAGCAAAACTTGAAAAAAAAAAGATAAACCAAATTGCAACATTTTTAACATTTTGGACTAAAATGGACAAAATAAAAGACATGTATGCACAATAAGCACAAATAAAAATTCAATGGACTGATTTGAAAAGGCTTAAAACTTTTAGACTAAACTGCTTAAACGTGAAAGTTGAAATAAAATAGATAACTTTTGATTTTTTTTTTTTTTTTACTTTTTAACCTTTTTAGTTTTTTTTCATTTTAGTTTTTTTTTTTATGACAGACGAAACTAGATCGGGTTGGGTTAACTTGACCCAAAAACACGAAACAATTCACCAACATAAAAACAGATAAAAAGAAGATCAAACATGCAACCAAAGCGGGAAAACTAAGATTAATGTAATTTCCAGTAACAACAAACCCATTCATTAGAAAATAAACTGAACAATTTTTCTTGATTTTTTTCATTCATTTTCCAAGGAAACACATACAAACTTAAACACAGTTCTAAACAAAATCAACAGA